GGGGAGAAAAAAAATTTTTCTGGTAAATTTGCTCGGCGTTAGTCACGCACTCCGGAAAACTTTTTTGGGATGCTTGCCAGATATATTCCGGGTTCCCGAAAGTAAAAAGGGAGCGTGGGCGGAAGTTCAAAAAATTTTTTTACAAAGTTGAAACGAATTGAAATCATTTTTTCACTACAAGTCTAAGCATGAGAACACCACCTCAAGGAGTGCGCTTATCACATGATCATTTTCTCACCACTTACCCATATGTGGGCAATTTACCAGTGATTTTGTACTTCATGCAAGTCACCCGCAGCTCCGGCAAGTAGTACAACTTCAAGCCCACCCTCACATCATCTGAAAAACGCATCAATAATGAAGATATATCGCAAGAATTTTGTTATATGAAGTGAATTGAGTGAGCACTCTCCCTTAGTGAAATTATACCTTGACAGCCGATCTCAATCTTCAGATAGATCGGATAAGGTTGAATCACAGTCTTCTTGTTAAGTTCCAGCCGATCAGACACAACCCCACGACGTCCTTCGTTGTCACTAACCTCTACGACACGTGAACTAAGAGATGAACAACCAAAAAAACAACACTACCATCATCGTCGCTGTTTTCTTTCTCCTCTGGCTCGTCTTTTTGGCGCCGTCTCAAACGCAGAGCCTCATTCGCGTCGCCGCGGATGACTACCTGCACACTCGAGTCTATAAGCGCAGTATTGGTAAGATATACATGCAAAACGTAAGATTCACTGTCTGATAAAGCTTACGATAATTGCTTTCGAACGTGCTCAGCATGCAAGCGTACCCTCGATTTGGAAAATTTTGGGTATGTATGAAGGGGGAAGGGGGGAGGGAGGGAATTATGCCAAGCACTAACTTTTCCGCTGTCACGGCCATTCACTGGGAAGTTTACTCGTACACTTGTTTGAAACACTACTTAGCGTGATGGGCTATACAAACAAGGAGAATCAAAATGTCGAAGTGGAACAAGATAATTTACCATTTGTTCTACGACTAGGAGGCTCAGAAAAGTTTTGCACACATTT